ATGGAAGTCTGTGACGGCCCCTTGCGCTGGCATTGCAGAGACGCCCGCCTGGGTGGAAAAGTGCGCCAGCTGCCCATGGCGCAGCGAGGATATGGACCTTTCCGAGTATTTCCGGAAGACGAACAACGACGGCGAGATCTTGGGCTGGCTGACGGCCCACCACAACGAGCCAACGTAGCAGGAGTGAATCTAAACAGTGTTTTGAGTGTTTGTTTTATTTTTGTTTTTCGTCATGAACGCGTTTCAGAACACGCTTTCGCATGCTCTGAACGCTGGCCGTCGCGCCCATGCGTTTTGGCCACGGGGGGCGCCGTTTTGTTGGTTGTTCTGTTACGGCACAGGCAGGTGCCGCACGTCTTGTTGGGCGGTTTATTTTCGCGCAAGCAGGCACCGCTCTTTTAGCGTGCGTTTTGTTGTACTGCCCGAGCTATCTTCGTTTCAATCTTCGCTTCAATGTTTAATCGCGCTCTCACTGCTCAATTCTTCACCCAAGCCCTCACCTTGATCTGTGCTCGCGCTCCCGACGATTAAACCTTCACTTCGAGCCTCCGCCTTAACCGACATTCGCGCTCTCACGGCTGACATCTGTTTTTGACCCCCCACATCTTCAGTCGCGTTTTCGCTGCTTCACACTCGCACTGCTAATCTTCAACCACGTTTTCGGTCGCGCTCTTGCTGCTTAAATCGCCACCTAAAACTTCACCAACATCTTCCCGGGAACCTTAAATCTCCACCTGAACCTCCACCCCCCCGCGGACCCGAAATTATCGCCAAAATCTCCCCGTGGACTTGAAATCTTCGCCTAGATCGTGTCGTAAGTTTTGTCATCCTCCCCCGGGTCTTGAATCTTCACCGAAATGTCCCCCCTGACCTTACATCTTCACCTACATCTTTCCCAGGGGCCCGAATCTTCACCACAATCTCCCCCGATCACCGAATCTCCACCTAAATCCCCCTCCCCCCCGGGACCCTAAATCTTTACAGCAATCCCCCCCCAGACCTTACATGTGCACCTAATCTCCCCCCGGGCCCTAAATTTTCACCTGAACCTTCATCCCCCCTTGGGCCCTAAGTCTTCGCCGAATTCCCCCCTGACCCTAAATCTGCGCTTACATTTTCCCCCAAATCTCAAATCTTCATTCAAATCTGTATTTAAATCTGCATGTAAATCTTCATGGGAGGAGGGGGATGATGATGAAGGAGGAACGAGGAGGGAGGATGAGGGGGAGGAAAAGGAGGAGGAGGGGAAATGTGACGAGGAGGAGGGGGAGGAGGAGGAAAGGGAGGAGGGGAAAGATGAAGAAGGGGACCACAAGGGGAAGCACGGCGACGAGGAATAACGGGTGAACGAGGTGATGAAGAACGGTCAGTAGAGGACGAGTGGGGGCCGAAGGTGACGACGATGAGGCGGATGACAACGCAAATGTCCACGACGATGCATAGGCAAAGGGGGACGCAGATCATCAGGAGGATGAGGGGGAGAACGAGGAAGAGGAGGATGAGGAGGAGGAGGAGGAAGAGCATGAGGAGGAAAAGGAGGAGGACGAAGAGGAAGGACGGGAGGATGATGATGAGGAGGAGGAGGAGGAGCAGGAGGAGCAGAAGGAAACGTAAGACGACGGTCGGGGGAGGAACGCGAGCGGTGGTGGCGTTGGAGGTGGAGTGGGAGCGGCGGCGACGAGGATGGCGACATGGTTTCGTTTTGTGAGTGTCTCACTCAAAAGCATTAGCCGCAGTGCCACGGGGACGTGGTGGGGGCGGGGGGGGGGGGTAGGTTTCGGGCCAGAAAGTGTCGTGTGGGAGGTCCCAAAAACTGAGCTCTCGTGGGGTGGGGGTGCGGGGACGTGGTGGGGGCGCGGGGTGGTTGCCGGTAGGTTTCGGGTCAGAATTTGTCGCGTGTGGAGTCCCAAGAACTGAACTCTCGTGGGGTGTGGGGGTGTCGGGACGTAGTGGGGACGCGGATGGGGGTGTCGGTAGGTTTCGGGCCAAAAATGGTCGTGTGAGGGGTCCCAAAGAACCGAGCTCTCGTGGGGTGGAGGTGCCGGGACGTGGTGGGGGCGCGGGACGGGGTGTTGGTAAGTTTCGGGCCAGAAATTGTCGCGTCGGGGGTCCCAAGAATTGAGTTCTCGTGGTGTGGGGGTGCCGGCACGTGGTGGGGGCTCGGCGGGTGCAACAAACTTCTCCTCACACGCCTCTGGGGTCGGCGGATTTTGCTGTTGCGAGCCTCGCGGTGTCAAAATCGTGATCGAATTGGGGAGGCGGCAGCGGCGACGGTCGGCAGCGCCGTTTGGTCACGGTTTTGCTTGTGCGGGTCTCGTACACTTGAGAGTCTGACCAAACGGGGCGGCGACGGCCGCGGCGACGGGAGGCGCAATTTGGTCATGATGCTGATTGTGCGAGCCTCGCACAACCAACGTCGTAATCAGAATTGGGCGGCGAGAGAAAAAGAGAGAGGGAGAGCGAGCGAGCGAGAGACATAGAAAGAGAAAGAGATAGAGAAAGACAGACTGAGACAGACACACATGTAACAGAGTGAGAGAGATAGAGAGCAATAAAGAAAGAAAGAGAGAGGGAGAGATAGAGAGGAACAACAAGAAACAAAGAGAGAGAGAGAGAGAAAGATGGACGGGCAGGAGTGAACATTGGGAGGGAGGAGTCAGCATAGAAGATGGCAGTGGAAAGACGAGTGTGAACGCGCATGCATGCCCAGCGTGTTCAGCGCACCTCGGAAGAGATCCATGCACATGATGTGTTACGGGGTGGGGGCATGTGTAGTATAGGATGTGTTCAATTCAAAAGGGGGCAAGAGAAACTGGTTGGTGCATCCAGGCTCCTTGAAACTGCCCTTTGGCCGGACACGCACGCGCACTGGTTTCTGACTTCTCACACGTGCCAGTTGTTCTCCGCTCGCTCGTTTTCATTCCCAAGCCTGCATTTGCATCTAGGGGCTTTTAATTGTGATTATTATTCGCTTCGCTCATTCCGCCGGCCCATATCGTCGCAGCGCTGTCGGCTGGCCGAGTGGTCGTTTGCAGTGTGGGCCTGCGGGGGCGTTTGTTTCTCTGAGTTACTTCGTTCGGAATGATGAACGCTGGGGCTGAAGCAGCTTTCGTGGAGCAGTCTGGGGGCGATTCGTCTAGATTTCACGGGGAGTTGTCGGAGGAATTCTTTGTTTTTTTGCACGGGGTTTCAAGGTGTTTGCTGCTTCGGCAGCAAACACCTAGAAATTGCCTCGGAGGACCCTCTGGGGAGTGCTTTGGCAGGTTCGGCACCATGCAGCCTCATATCTGCTGGTTGCGTGAGAGCTCGTTGTCAATGCGGAGATGTTTGGATCTCTCGGTAGGCGCCTGGGGAGCCTCTTTGAGGCAGTTTTGAAGCCTCTCGACGTGTATTGGGGGCCGTTTGGGGGTTCTTGGGGTTCCGTTTTTGGCTTCTTGGGAGCTTCTTGGAGGCTTTTTGGGAACCCGCTCGCGGTCTCGGAGGCGTCCTTGGAGCGGAAAGCTCGAAATGTCATTTGGAGTTCTGTCTGTCGGGGCCGTCTGAGGGGATCCTGGGCGCCTCTTGGGGCGTCTTGGGGCTCTCTTGGGCTGTCTTGAGGCTCTCTTGGCCTTGTCTTGGAGGCCTGTTGGGCCCTCTTGGGGCGATCTTGGGGGCGCTTGGGCAGTCTTGGACGTTGTGAAATACAAAAAATGGTATATGCGAAAAAGCAATTTTCTTGGGACCTTCTTGGAGGGCCTCTTGAGACCTGTATGAGGGCTATATTTGGCGTCTTGGAACGATCTTTCAGCGACTCGGAGCCCTCTTGCACCGTCTCCGGGGCGTCTCGGGGCCCTTCTGGCGCGCTCACAGGACTTGCCGGGGTCCTGCCCGGGGGTTGGTCGGGGGTTGGTCGGGACACTTTTCGTCCGGGAGCCCCCAGGAGCCGCCCCGCGCGCGCGAACAAGACATGTTGTTATACCGTTAGCCAGCGACTGGAGATCTTGGCACGCCTCTGGCCCGTTGGGCCGGCAAGCAAGTATCTGCGTGGGTCTGCCGAAGTGGCGCTTGGTGGGTGGCCGTGGGCGCCTCCTGGGCGCCCCGTGCGCTGGCTGGATCTGCCTGGATTTCGCTCGGTGGGTGCGCCGTGGGCGCCTCGTGGGCGCCTCGCGTGCTGAGCCGATCCGCCGAGGAGTCGCCCGGTGAGCGGCCGTGGGCGCCTCGCAGGCACAGCTTGTGCACCACAGACCTTCCGCCGCACAGCTCCTCACCACCGGCAGCACCACACAGTGCTAGCACCTCGCTGCTTGCACCCCACTGCTTTTGTTTTGCATCACCAAGCCTACCCTACGTGTAGCCTGCACCACCTTGCTTGCAGCGCGCATTGCTTGCACCACACGGCTTGCGCAACGCAGATTTGGCCACGCAGCTTACACACCCACGGTGCAGCAGCTCACCGTTCGGGGCCTTCGCTGGCAATCTTTTTGTTTGCGCACCTGCCCCACTGATCGATTGCACCAGAGAGAAATCCTAATCAGTGGGTGGTTTGAAATGGGATCGATAAAGAGATCAACAAGGAGATCGACCGGGAACCCGGAAACCCAGAACCCACCGAAATCGGACCAGAACCAATGACCAGGAACCCGGGAACCCAGAACGGGGATTTTGGGATCCCAGCCGGCCACCAAAATCGGCGCGAAATTGTCGCCAAATCCTGAAATTTCCGCTCGGACCCCCTCAGAGCCTCAGTGCAAGCACTGATGGGGGAATTTCCGCAGGGCCCCCGTCAATGCAAGCACTGATTGGGGAAAAACTCGCATGGTCCAGTGGTTCATCAGAGCGTGAATTACCTACCCCGCTTTCGCTTCCAGGCAAAACCAAGTGATACCACGCGCCTCCTCGTCAAGCGGCCTGACCAGTACGGGCCGTAGTTTGGCATCGCTTGGTATCTCTTGGAAGCGAGGGTGGTCAAAAGCGAGGTAGGTTTGCTTGCCCCCTAGTTCATCGAGGCACGCGGAGTGGAGGAGCTCTCGGAGACCAAGAGCAAGTACTTCGTCCAGAAGAAGAAGGAGCAGGCTCACGACGCAGGGGGCGCGACGCGCCGCGCATCTCGGCCCTTGCTCTTTGCAGCGGGGCCTCCCAGAGGAGGTCGGAGTAGATTCACGTCGGGCCTGTCCCTCTACAGGGGGAATATCCAAAAATAGTCCAAAAATAGTCTGGGGACTATTGTTTGACAAGTTTCGGGCATTGCTCTTGCATGTTTGGCGTACGTTTTATTTTTTCGCCCAGAATCGGCCTGTAGGGGGACAGGCCCGACTTAAGAGTAGATGAGGGTCAGAGGATCGCGCCGCATCGCCGATGCATCGGCGATGCGTCGCGATCGTTCGACCCCATCTACTCGGACCCCATCTAGGAGGCCTCCATTGCAGGGGTGGGGGGTGAGTCTGAAGGGTGCGCTGTCTCAGCCCTGGACCATCTGACAGGTTCGAAGATGGGCCGCCCTCGAGGTAGCGCAAGGCCGACCTTAATTTTAGTCGGACGTGTCCCTCTACAGGATGAATATTCAAAACTAGTCAAACAAAAATAATATGGGGACGATTTGTATACTACTTGTGACTAGTGTGGAGCATTATTTTGGCTATTTGTCATGCTTCGCCCAAGCTCCGCCTGTAGGAGGACATTCCCGACCTAACCCTGGACCACCTGACAGGTTCGAAGATGGGCCGTACTCGAGGGAGCGAGGGGCCAACCCTAGAATTACTGTACGCCTCCCGGCGGGATGTTGGAATCCGGGCTTGGCTTCCCCCCCCCCCTCCCCCGATGCTCTTTTTCCTCCCCCCAAGGGGGGGTTCGGGGGGGTCTGGGGGGCTTTTTGTTCCTCCCCGGGGGTGGCGGGGGGCGGGGGGGGGGGGCGGGGGGCTCGAGGCCTTTTTTGTTTTTCCCCTCGAGGCCTTTTTTGTTTTTCCCCTCGAGGTTTTTTCCCTCGAGGAAGAGTCGCGGAGGCCGCCACATCCAGGGGGTCAGGACCAGAAAAGGGCCGCTCTCTCCGCCGGCGGAGGCCCTGCAGCGTGTTCTGTTGGCGGAGCCGTCGCGACGTGAGGCCAGACCCCCGCGGGAGGGAGGGAGAGAGAGTCCATCGCATCCCTCGTCCTTGCATCGGCAGCCCGACGTCAGCGCTGATGAGGAAGCCGCCGCATGCCTAGGATTGTGAACCTCCGCCTCTCCTCACCCCGCGCTGCCAGCCCTGCTCGCCGCTCGAGCTCCTGACCGCGCCTGCGCCCAGCGAGATACCGAGTCCCGGCGTGCCTATAACCCTACCAATCCAGGTTCTAAGAGCCTGTTGTGGTTGCCACGAAATGTTCTCAGAACCCTTCTGGCGGAGTCTGTTTTGTTTCAACCCATGAGGCTTACGTTCTAAGAACATTGCTTTAGTTATTCGAACATGTTTGGAGTCTAAGAACATTTCGTGGTAAGACCCTATAGGAATGCCGGGACGGTCGGTCCCTGCTCAAGGAGAGAGAGAGAGAGAGAGTCCATCGTATCCCTCGGCCTCCCTATATCGGCAGCCCATCGTCCTCCTTGTATCGGCAGCCACTCTCCTGAAACGTCTCCGCTGTGCGCCTCATGACCTGGCAGAGAATAAAGAGGAGAGGAACCAGGGAGAGCGCCCACAGACTGGAGGCCTGGGAATGGGCACCACCACGAACACAGGGCTGTGGAGGACGATCAATCGAGAGGAGGTATGCTGCCAGACAATCTCCAGATGTTTCAAGTCTGCTTCAAATATGGTGACAACATGTTTATGTATGTATGCATGTATTAAAACATTGTGGTAACCATGTATAGCACTTTTTTAGCTCAATGATAGGAATGGTGGGGTGACGATTGTCATGGCATCCACAAACACAGGGGGTCTGCCCCCACAGGGGGAAGACGATCCTCGATTTCGGTGCTGGTGGTGCTTTTTCGGCCACCCCGGAAGCCCGAATATTTCCATCGTCGCCGCAATCGGGATCATTTTCCTTCGGTGGAGGCACACCGCCGAGATTGGTGTTGGTGTTAACCTCTATAGGCCTCCAAACAGAGTCCCGAGATCGAGCCCGGGGAGGAGGTGAGAAGGGACGGGCGGGTTCGAGCCTTCTGAGAAGTTGTCTCTCGGCTTTCCCCGGAGACGCCGGAGACCTCTCAGGAGGCGCGAGGGCTTCCGAGAAGCCCCGCCGCCTTCTGAGATGGCATTCTCCTTCTCACTTCCACCCGTCGCTCACCGCTGACGATAGCTGGCTACGCTCATTCGGTTCTATTCCTGTCAGGCGCATTGGGCACATGTTTTGCTCCCGAGCCTCTAGCTTCTCGGTCTTCGCCGTCCTAGGCCCCACGCATCCCACCCTCTTCGCCCTATCTCCTCCTCTAGCCAGAGGCCGCGCTACGATTAGGCGGCGCCCGCCGCAGCCACTCCCTGCATGATGCCTGACTCCATTCGAAGAATAGAGGGCGTTAAACATAAACGTTTGGCTCTCCGCACGAATTTCTTCGATGCGCGCAGGGCCCCCCCAGCGGCGCCTCCGGCGCCGCCCCTGGCGCGTTCCGCGCGCCAGGGAGGAGGGTCTGGCCCAGATATCCAAGAAGTCCACGCGGAGCGCCAAAAGTTTATGCTTATGCCTTTTTCCTTCCTCTGTATCCACGTGTGCATCCCCAGGAGCCGCCTCAATTCATAACACGGGGCTCAAGCCGCTCCGGGTCGAGTCCCCAGTACCCCGAGGTCTCTTGGCCCGAAGTTAGGGGAACGAATAATGACATAAATACACAAGAACTCGGAGGTCCGCGCGGATTTCTCGGATCGGCGCTGGACCACCATCCCTGGCGCGCGGAGTGCGACAGGGGCGGCGCGGGGGGCGCCGCCAGGGGGCCCCAGCGCCGCTCCGAGGAAGCCGCGCGGACCTCGGAGTTTTTATTTCGATGTCATCCTTCGTTCCCCTCGACGGTCCTTGCACCCGTCCCTCATTCGGGCCGGGCGAAAGGGGGGGATTGGGAAAGGGGGGGTTACGAAATCTGCTGCGTGCAGCTGGTTTCGGCCCCACCGAGGGCCCCATTCCTCGATACATAGCCGCCTCCAGCGCCGGGAGGCGCCGGGAAAATCAGCTACGTGAGCTGATTCTCAAACCCCCCCTTTGCTATCCCCCCCTTTCGCCCGACCCGACTCATGTCGCGGGCAGCGGCGTCCGAGTCGGGCGACAGCAAAGTCTCGGCGCTGGAGCTGCAGGCAGACCTCGCGCGGTTCGACGCCCTGCTGGCCGACCTCCGGCGCGAGCACGAGGCCTGTGGGCCTCGGGGAGGAGGAGGAGGAGGAGGAGGAGGAGGAGGAGGAGGAGGAGGAGGAGGAGGAGAGTCGTACGCCTCGGGCAGGGTGGAACTCGGACTGGCCAACGCTTCTTGATGGGCCCATCTTGGAGTCTGACGGTCCAGTTTTCGCGGGATGCTTGGGTGCAGGAGTTCGCGTCCAATTCCAGGTTGGGTCTCGCTCATTCTCTTGACGGCGTTGTCAGGCCAACCCGAGTCTTACGTCCTCCCGAATGTAGCGTCGACCAGCGTCGGCTCGCAAGAGCCAGCACGGACGGCATGGGAGGCCCCCACGACTTGGCATCGCTCGGACGTGTGCATCTGTTTTCGGCGTGGACCATCGATGAGCAGATTGGATCACCTGTCGGCAGAATTACGAGCAAACAACACGCACCCATGCCCAGAAGGGGGGACGGAGGGGGCTATGGGTGCGGGTTGTCGGGTGGGGCCCCCCGTTCGAACAGGAACCTCACCCAGGGTCCGACAACCGCACCCGTGCCCATGGCCAGTCCTTTTCCCTCCGACCTTTCTACGGGTACGGGTGTGTGTATGCATGTGTGTATGCATGTGTGTGCGTGTGCGTGTGCGTGTGCGTGTGCGTGTGCGTGCGTGCGTGCGTGTGTGTGTGTGTGTGTGTGTGTGTGTGTGTGTGTGTGTGTGTGTGTGTGTGTGTGTGTGTGTGTGTGTGTGTGTGTGTGTGAGTGTTTGTGTGTGTATGTGTGTGTGTGTGTGCGTGTGTGTGTGTGTGTGTGTGTGTGTGTGTGTGTGTGTGTGTGTGTGTGTGTGTGTGTGTGTGTGTGGTGTGCGTGCGTGCGTGCGTGTGCGTGCGTGTGTGTGTGTGTGTGTGAGTGAGTGGGTGCGCGTGTGTGTATGTGTGCCTGTGTGTGTATGTGTGTGCGTGCGTGCTTGCGTGCGTGTGTGTGTGTGTGTGTGTGCGTGTGCGTGCGTGTGTGCGTGTGTGCTTGCGTGTATGTGTGCGTGTGCGTGTGCGTGTGCGTGTGTGGTTGTGTGTGTTTGTGTGTGTGTGTGTGTGCGAGTGTGTGGCGTGTGTTGTGTGGTGTGTGCTGTGTGTTGTGTGTTGTGTGTTGTGGATTGTGTGTTGTGTGGTGTGTGCTGTGCGTTGTGCGTTGTGTGCTGTGTGTTATGTGCTGTGTGTTGTGTGTTGTGTGTTGTGTGCTGTGTGCTGTGTGTATTGTGTGTTGTGAGTTGTGTGTTGTGTGTTGTGTGTTGTGTGTGCGTGCGCGCGTGTGCTCATCTGCGTGTGCGTCTGCGTGGGCGTCTGCGTCTGCGTCTGCGTCTGCGTCTGCGTCTGCGTCTGCGTCTGCGTCTGCGTGCGCGTGCGCGTGCGCGTGCGCGTGCGCGTGCGCGTGTGTGTGCGTGTGCGTGTGTGTGTGTGTGTGTGTGTGCGTGTGTGAGTGTGAGTGTGCGTGTGTGTGTGTGTGTGCGTGTGTGTATGCGTGTATGCGCGTGTGTTGCGTGTGTGTTGCGTGTGTGTTGTGTGTTGTGTGTTGTGTGTTGTGTGTGTTGTGTGTTGTGTGTTGTGTGTTGTGTGCGTGTGTTGTGTGTCGGTGTGTCGGTGTGTCTGTGTGTCTGTGTGTTGTGTGTCGGTGTGCATGTGTGTCTGTGCGTCTGTTTGTCTGTGTGTCTGTGTGTGTTGTCCGCTCGTCAAAAAAAAACTAGGCCCCCGACGTGATGCATTCCTCATGACGCGGACCCCCAGGGGTCTCGACCAGTACCCCGGGACCGGCTCTTCCTCCCGAGTCGGCTTTTGACGCTTCCGAGGCCCCGCCAGGGGCCCCCCAGAGGCCGCAGATCGCGAACAGAACTCCCCAGATCGTGATCCCCTCACCCCTCGACGGGGGTCCGGGCCCTCCGCGCCCGAGGCCGCGCGAGGGCGCCCGGGGAACGCACGCCCGAGCCACGGCCCGCCGGCCCGCCGGCCTGCCGAGGCCCTCGCGCAGCAGCTGCGCGACGCGGCCCCGCCGCGGGCCTCCCGCGCCGCGCTGCGGGCGGCGGCGGGCCCCCCGGCCGGCGGCGAGGGCTCGCGCGGGGCGGCCCCGGGCGTGCCCGTGCCCGAGCCGCGGGAGGACGCGGCTGCGGGCAAGAGCGGGGAGCGGCCAGGGTTTCGACCCGGCGTCCGCCCGGCATCGCTCGGACGTGTGCACGTTTTTTTTGTCGGCGAGGACCATCGAGGAGCATCCTCGCTCGTTTGGCGAAAAAGCCACGCACGACACCACAAGAAGCACAGGGAATGGACGTCGAGGATGCTCGGGGGCGGCAAAGAGGGGGGTGATGACTAGGGGGCGGTGGATATCATGGCGGGGGCCATGATACTTCCTCAGATCTCATGGCGCCCCTTCCTACTTCATTACGTCCCTGGCCCCCCCGCTGGGCCGCGCACATGCCGCCGGTCATGATTTGCACCCCCCCCCCTCTTGGACACCCCCCTCTTGACCGCTTCCGAGATGCGACCAGGCGTCAGAGTGACCTTTGGCCGGAATGTCCTCTGGTGCCGGCCCCATCGGGGTTCAAGGCGGCCAGATTTCTCAGAGGCCCACGCGCCTTTCTTCGGGGAAGGCTCAGAGCAAACTTCTCGGAAGGCCCGGGAACGCCCTAGCCTTCTGCGAATGCCCGCCCCTTCTAGTTGCCCCCCCTCGCTCGCCGCCGACAGGACGAGGGTGATGACTACCCAGATCCCCTCGCGCAGTGAAAAAAAACACGACGGGAGGTTTGTATATTTTTGGGGCCTCTGGGGGCCCTTACCAGGCCTCGGGACCGTCAAAAAACGACTCAGGATGAAAGACCGGTCCCAGGGAATGGGTCGACCTCTGGGGGTCGACGTCATGAAATAATTCATGACGTCGGGGGTCTGTTGTGGGAAGATACCCACCCTCCACCTCCCATAGTGGGGACGAACCCCCTTCGAATAGATTGGCAAATATGTGGGGGGGCTCCTGGGATGTGTGCCTGCTTCTTTGTGTGTCCCAGAGCCCCATCAAAAGATTTCCTTCGCCGGAGTGACCCCCGGTGCGGGCCCACCAGGGGTCCCCCCAGCATTGCCTGGCGCGTTTGGGTTTGCCCCTCCCCCCCCCCCCTCCCAGGCCTGCGCCCAACCTGCGGGAGGACGCCGCGATGAGCATAAGAGTGGCACAGTGGCCCTTCGCTGGAGTGACCTTCCCATGCATGCTCGCATATGTGTATGTATCTACACACGCTCGCTGGCCCCCCGAAGGCAGGGACCACTGGTTCCCCTGGATACATGTGTTGCTCTCCCCTGGGCTACTCGCCCCCACCGCCGCTTCCGACAAGCATCAGGACGGTCCGGCTTCTCGTCGCGTTCGGCCTCGGGGGCCCCTGCGGGGCCCCAGGGCAGTCAGAGAACGACCCGGGAGGACCGGCCAGTCCCGGGGAAGGGGTCACGGACTTCCGGGGGCACCGCGCATCGACAAAATCGGTTCATTTTGTTCCTCGCATGTGCATTCCGGCGTTGGCTTTTGGCTTGGCCCGCTGGCAATTCTCTTGCTCGTTGCCCCGAGCTTGCTTCGACCCGCTCTCTGGAATCGTCCTTGGAGCCGCAGATCAAAAACATTTCGGCAAGCTCTCTGGAATCGTCCTTGGAGCCGCAGATCAAAAGAGTATCGACAACATCTGGACATCGCATGTCTGGACCACCTGGGGCGGGGGCCCACATCGGGGTTCCCGTGACGGGGGTCCGCGCCAGCGGGGGGTCGTCCAGTCCCCCCTGGCTGACCCCCGGGTCTGGGAGCCACGCGGGGCCGATTCCCCTTGTTTGTCCTCCGCGGACCCGGGTCTGGGAGCTGCTCGTAAGTCGGGCCTGTCCCTCTACAGGAGGAATGCTCAAAGAGTAGTCTGGGGACCATTTTTGTTATTAGTGTTGATCATTTTCGGAATATATGTCTTGATTATCTTTCCATTCTTCGCCCACCGTCCCCCTGTGGGGGGGCACGCCCGACTTCGAGCTGCTCAGCGGCCAGCCTGGCTTGGCGACAGGGCCCGGGCTGACCCGGACATGGGCCGAGTCGGGCCAGCGCGTCCCCGACCGCAGGGGTCCTCCCAGCTTCGGCGGGCAGGCTTCGATCTGCTCCCCCCCCCCTCAGGGCCCGCGGAAGCCGCGCACGAGAGTCTACTCTGGCCCAGGGCCCCAGACATCCAACGCACTGAAAAAGTGAGGACGGAGTTTTTTTTGGATTTTCGGCCTCTAGCGGCCCTCGCCGGGCCCCGGGACCGTCAAAAAACGACTCAGGATGAAAGACCGCCTCGGCTGGCACGCTTCGATCTGTTCCCCCCCCCCGCGGCCCGCTACAGTCGGGGCGCTGAACAAGGAACCCTTTTCGTTGGGGGGGGGCTCCGTGTTCCTTCATTGTTTGGCAGCTTGCCTCAGGTTGTCCTCGGGTCTTCGATTGGGGAATCGAAGTTTAACTCATGGAAAGAAGGGGCCTCGTTCCTTATTCAGGGTGCGGTCAACGCCCCGACTGTAAAGCCGCGCACCAGGGTCCACCCTTGCCCGGGGTCGCTCTTGCGTGCAGCCGGGAGGACGCGTGGGACCCCCCCAGCTCGGCGAAGGCGGCTTGGGAGTCCAATCATGTGGAGCCGTTCGCGCCTCGCGATCCCACGCGCGCGTCGGACAAGCTGGGCGCCTCAGGAGCGCTGGCGGAGCAAACGGTGGAGGGCGGCGTCGACAAGTCTTTCCATAAGTCCTTCAGCAGGTCCTTCAGCAAGAACCTCCAGCACTTCCAAGAACAGATCACCCATGGCAGCGAAATCTTCACCAGTCCAGCGGTAACCGGATCCGAGAAGAGGCATTGTTGCTTGGAGTTTGTTTCCAGCCCGACGTTTGAGCTTGTGTGGTCGGTCGTCATCCTCTTGAGCACCCTGGTGATGGCCATAGAAGCGCAGTATGACGGTATGGACGCTTCTTACCGCCACGATCTTGGCCGACACCCGGCGGCCAAGCCAGCTAGTGATGTGTGGCCAGGGGCCGACAAGGCATTCGTCGTCGTCGACACGATGTTCGGAGCGTTGTTTACGCTAGAGTTGGTCTGGCGGTTGGTCGCCCTTCGCAGGGAGCTGTTCCGGGATGCTTGGTCTTGGATCGACATTTCTGCGGTTGTCTTCTGGTACCTGGAGCGGCTCTCGGACGCGTTCCTGCCGCTGGATCCCAGATTCATACGTGTCACCCGATTCGTTAGGTTACTGCGCCTAGTGAGGGTCATCAGGTTCGTCAACGCCTTCGAGAAGCTGTACCTGATGGTGGCCTCGATTACCAGCAGCTTCTCCGCACTAGCCTGGTCTGCCGCCGTACTCTTCCTGCTAGAGATGGTATTTGCACTTTTGCTCAACATTATGCTGGAGGGCTTCTGGAACAACACCGACAACCCAATCGAAGACCGCCAGGCGGTGTACCAGCGCTTCGGGACCTTCAGCAAGGCGCTGCTGTCCATGTTCGAAATGCTCCTCGGCAACTGGTACTCGATCACGCACGAGCTCATTCGGGTTAGCGAGTGGTACATGATATTCGGCGTGGCGCACCAGCTGGCGTTTGGCTTCGCAGTGATCGAGGTCCATAAAAGGTGTAAGAACAACACGCCGACTAATGACGTAGATGCTCACATTCTACGAATTGATTGCTGCATGCCCCAAGGAGGGTAAAACACGCAGCGTGCAATTGTGGCCTGCTCAGGACAGGTGCGACTTAAAGTTAGCTGCATGCGCCTGGGAAAAGAGAGAGTACCTGAGAAGAGATACGTGTTGTTCTTACATCTTTCCCCCCGGTGATCGAGGTCATGACAGGCGTGTTCCTCCACGAGACTTTCAATGTTTTGTCGCTGGACGACAGCATCATGGCGAACGAGACGAAGCGCGCGATTCAGAGCAACACCGCGAAGATGAAGGTCTTTTTCCAGAACGCGGATGCCAACGGCGACGGCTTCCTTGACAAGGAGGAGCTCGAGGAGGTCCTGCGGCGGGAGAAGGTACAGGAGTGGCTCTCCGCAATGGGGCTCGAGATCAATGACTTGGTCAGCGCCTTCACAATACTAGACAAGGACAAGGATGGCCAGCTCAGTACCGAGGAGTTCGTGGAGGGGGCCTGGCATCTGAAGGGCCACGCGAGGGCGATCGAGGTAGCAGTCCTGCGGAACTTGCTCGAGGAGATAAAGGCCAAGGTTGAGGTTCAGGGGCAGCGGCAGCTGGGACACGAGCGTCATCCAGTTCAATTGACCCACTCGTTTTAACATGTGGCCTGGTCCGCCGTCATGTATCTTCCCTCTTCTCTTCATCACGTTCTTCAGCTTTCTGGGATCTTTTGTGATGGATGACTCGACTTCTGCACGTGGGTGGGCGGCTAAGTCGTTGCCGGCGTCGTTGCGCTCCCGGAAGTGTCGAACGAGGTGTCAGCAAGAGCGGTTTGGCACTCAATGATTTCGAAGGCGTTTGTGATTGCCGTTGAAGCACGCCTGCATTTCGAGTCCACCTTCCTTGCCGCGCTCATCCGCACCCGCTCTTGGAGAACGTCTGTGCAAACGTTGTTGTGTGTCTTCGCTGCCGACGATAGGTGGACAGGCGCAGGCGATGCTTCACCGCGCCACGGGCTCCATGGGCCGACGGTTGGCATCTGTGTGCGCGACTGTATAGCGTACTGTTTAGTATCCCCCACGACCTCCCCTCCCTTCTTCCTCTTCCCCCCTGCCCTTTCTTCTTCCACTCTTTCCCTCGTTGCATGCACGTACGGGCAAACGCCGAATTTTCAGTGCCATCATTTTCCATCACGGGGTGCTGCTGTTAGCGGCGACCCCCGATCGATCGCACTGGCCGCGCTGCAGGTGCAGGAGGCCGGTCTAAGATAGCATGCCTTTTTGCGGCCAGGCACGCATCTCTCCCCCTCTCATCCCTCGAAGGCAAAGGCAAGCACTCGAATAGAAACGCTCCGAGACTCGCGCGGGTTCCTTGGCTCGGCGCGGGACCCCCTCCGCGCGGCCCCTGGCGGCGCTTCTCGGGCCGCTCCCCCGGCGCGCGCTCCGCGCGCCGCAGAAGGGTGCGAAGGAGAAGGGCGCAAGCGCCGACCCGAGGAAAAAGCCGGCCAGGCTGCTGCGAGTGGCTGCTCGCGCTGTCTTGTCGGGGGTCTCCCGCGGCCACGCCGCATCATTAGCGTGCGACACTTTCCAGCGCTCCTTGGCCCCCAGGCCCCCGCGAGTCATGAACACCGGCCTCTGGGGGCCCTCACCCGCCGTCGGCGGGACCGTCAGAAAACGGACCTCATGGTTGTCGACATTGTGAATCAGGGGCGGCCGAGAGGGGGGTGATGACTAGGGGGGGGGGGAATGTCCTGGCGTGGGCCATGATCTTTCTCCAGATTTCATGGCGCCTCTTCTCGGTTCATTTCGTGCCCCGGCCGCCCCCTGGGCCGCGCACGTGCCTCGGGCCATGCTTTGCACACACACACACACACACACACACACACACACACACACACACACACACACACACACACACACACACACACACACACACACACACACACACACACACACACACACACACACACACACACACACACACACACACACGCACACGCACACACACACACACACACACACACGCACTACGGGACGCGAAAACGACCACGGCCACTGCTTTTCTTCTGCTGCCGCCCTCCAGCCGGCAGAAACAAAGCAGTGGTGGTGGTCATTTTCGTCAAGCCATTTTCACCGGGGAAATGACCTCAAGCACTGCTTCTTTTTCGGCCCGCTGGAAGGCGGCGCAAGCAAGAAGCAGTGGCTGTGGTACTTTTCCCGTCCCGCACACCCCCCTCGTGGACGCCCCGCCCCTTTTTGGCCCCCCCCCCGAGGGGGCCGGCGTGGTGCAGGGCCAGGACGTCGGGGGCCTGGGCTCTCCGCCCCGGGCCGTGGGCTGCCGGCCTCGGCGCGGGCGCCCAGGGCGCCGCGGGGCGCGGCCGGCCCGGGGCGAGAGCCGGGCGTGCACACGTGGACAGATTCGGTAAAACGACGCGAAGATCGGGACAAAATCGGATCGGGATAACTCGACATCTCTGAGAATCGGCGGGTTTGGAGGATATGTATCGGGCGCCGCGGCCGCTCCAGAGCGTTCCGGAACGCTCCGAGAGCGCTCCGGAACGCTCTGGAGCGATTTATCCTGATCTTAGCCCTGTTTTATTCAGGAGGGGAAAAAAACACGCAGACACAAGTCATCGTCGATAGCCCAGAAAACATGGGAAAGTATGGGCAATGGGGGGGGGAAGACAGAACGCCAGAAAACATGGGAAAATGCGGAGGGTCCGTGTACTTGTGTGTATTCCTTTGTGTGTCTCAGCAGAGCCCCTTCACAGAGGCCCCTCCAGCGCGCGGCCCTGCGATGGCCGGAGGGTGGCACCCCGGACGTGCCGCGGGTGAGCCCAGCCACGTGTCCAGCTGCTGTCGGAAGCTGGAGCATGTGCTTGTGGAGGGCCATCCATGGAGAGGAAACATGTTGCCAAATAAACACGCAAATGCATGCTCTCAACATTATGGGGACCTTTTTTTCCGACATCTTAAACACATGTGTAATTCGATGATAGGACTGCTCGAGTGTCCATTGTCATGGCATCCACAAGCAGATACATCACCAGTGGCGGGCTGTTCTTCAATCTCCGGATTTTTGCAGGGTCGGGGACGATATCGGGGTGGTGTGGTGTGTACTTGTTCCCCGCTTTCACGGGGAAGCAACGAAAAATGTATACACCAGGATCCCGTATACACCAGGATCCGCTTTCCTGTGCGAGTTCCAATGCGGGGCCGGAAAAGCGTCGGTGTATAGAGTTCGGTCCCTTACTCTTGGTACCGAAGAAGAAGAAAACGCCATGAACATAGACTTGTGGCGCTCCGCGCGGATTTCTGGGACCCGCGCGGAGCGCCAAAAGTTTATGTTTATGGCGTTGGTTCTTTCTTTTATTGGTAGACTCCATCCCAGACATCCGCCCATGTGACTGCGAAGACCTTACGGCTGGTGCCGCCGACCCTGAGGGGGAACGACGACAACGGCGGCGGCGGCGGCGGCGACCACGCTGACGTGGATCAGAGTCCTCTTGGATGCTTCTTCGGGTCTCTTCGAGGCGCTCTCGAGGGCCTCTGGGGAACAGTTTAGGGGCCTCTTGGGAGCTTCTTGGGGGCCTCTGGGGAGCCTCTTGGGGGCCTCTCGGAGCTTCCTGGTGGCTTCTTGGGGGCCTCTTGGGGAACAACTCTTGGTTCCTCCTGGGAGCCTCTCGGGGCCAAGTGCTCAAAATGTCTGTTCTGGTCCCTCGTCTGGGCACCCTCTTGGAGCTGTATTGGGGCCGTCTTGGGGGCCTCTTGGGTCGTCTTGGAGGCCTTTTGGGCCTCTTGGGCCGTCCTGGGTCCCTCCTGGAGCCCTCTTGTGCCGTCCTGGGACGATTTGGGGGGCCTCTTGGGCCGTCCTGTAGCGTCGGGAACGGAAGATGCGAGAACGCCGACATGCTTCAAAGACTAATGAGAAATCCCACCAGCCCTTTGGGCGTGAGTGGTTTAGAGAGCCCGCTCTGTCCTCAACCCCCCTTCTTCCCCTTCGGGGAGGGGTTTACCCCTCCCCCTACCCCCTCCCCCTGGACCTGGACAGGGAGTCCGGGGTGGTGTCAGGGGGGTCCATTTCGACTCCTCGGAGGGCCAAAAAACGACGACCCTCACGAGGATTCTGGCCCCGACGGGGGGGGGAGTTTGGCCCCTCTGTCGTCTTCTGCTCGTCTTTGAAGAAATCATTGATTTTACTAGGGTTTTGGGCCCATGTTGGCCTTCTGAGGGGGCGCGCTCATCTTCCCTCATAGCAAAATCATTGATTTTACGAAGGTTTTGGGTCTCATTTTGTCCTTCTCAGGGGGCAGCTCTCATTTGCGCTTCTGAGGAGGTCGCAAGAGGCCCCAAGATGGCCCCAAGAGGCCCCCAGGAGGCTCCCAAGAGGCCTCCAAGAGGCCCCCCCAGAGGCCCCCAAGGCGGCCCCCAAGAGGCCCCCAAGAGGCCCCCAAGAGGCCCCCAAGAGGCCCCACGAGGCCCCAAGAGGCCCCCAAGAGGCCCCCAAGAGGCCCCCAAGAGGCCCCACGAGGCCCCAAGAGGCCCCCAAGAGGCCCCCAAGAGGCACCCCCCCAAGAGGCCCCACGAGGCTCCAAGAGGCCCCCAAGAGGCCCCACGAGGAGCCCGAACGACTCACACCAGGACGAGGGGCCCGAACGACTCACACCACGAAGAGCCCGAACGACTCACACCACAAGGAGGGGCCCGAACGACTCACACCAGGACGAGGCGCCCGAACGACTCACACCACGAGGAGCCCGAACGACTCACACCACGACGCGGGCCCCGAACGACTCACACCACGAGGAGCCCGAACGAGTCACACCAGGAGGAGGGGCCCGAACGACTCACACCAGGATGAGGGGCCCGAACAACTCACACCACGAGAAGCCCGAACGACTCACACCAGGACGAAGAGCCCGAACGACTCACACCACGAAGAGCCCGAACGACTCACACCAGGAAGAAGGGCCCGAACGACTCACACCAGGACGAGAAACCCCAAACGACTCAAATCACGAGGAGCGCTTTCTCTCCCTCCTCCTCCGCCTCGTCCTTCTCCCGCTCCCCCACAAGGAGGATGTACAAGGAGGCGGGAGGAAGGAGGAACAGGGGAGATATGCGGGGCCAAGCGGACACACGCCTGAAAAACACGACTGTCGGCATGCTTCGCGAGAGTTGCTGCTGTGAGATGGGCTGGTGGGGATACGCGAAGCGTAAAGAATTGTAGATTGTTCCTCTTGGGGTGCTCTTGGGAGGGCTCCTGGAGGCCTCTTGGGGCGTCTTGCAGGGCTCTTGGGCCGTCTGCAGGCCGTCAAGGCGTCTTGTTGGACAGTAGTTCGGCGATTCGGGGCACTCCTGGACCGTCTTGGGGGCCTCGTAGGGCGCTCTTGGCCCGTCTTGGGGCTTTTGGGGGCCCCATGACCCCCCACGGGGGAATCGTATCTGTCTCAGCCCCCCCACCCACGGGACCGGAAATGCGAGACATTACAACCAACTAGACGAAATGCCAACCACCCAAGATTCACGGAGGTTTCTCTTCTCCAGAAGCTTATGGGAAGCGTCTGAGAAGTTTACGAGAGAAGCGTCTGAGAAGCTTACGATAAGCTTCTGAGAAGCGTCTTGAGAAGCGTCTGAGAAGCTGATTAGAAGCTGATGGG